TTTAAGTCAACAGTGACATGAACTTCATGTTTAATGCCATATTTCCAGTTTACAGAATCCAAAACAGGTACGTACTTCTCTCCTCTTCTGCTGTCTTGCGTTTCCTGAGAGCAATTTGTTCTTTGAGTTTATTTACATCCTCTTGAATTTTCTCCTTCACACGTTCACTTTGTTCTACTTCTCCACACACAGCCTAAAAAGAAGACACAAAGGTGAAAAAGTCACATATTAGAGAAAAATCTAAAGACTATTCTCTTATCAGTCATCTTGTGATCAAACTTTTTCATGACATTTCCCTCACCTGCACTTTATCTTGTAGTGCACTGTAGACTTGGAATATTGTTCGGATATCCTTCATCACACCATCTTTGTCAAAGAATTCAGCCCTGGAGAAATATTTCACAACACATGTACACAGTGAATTGTAACACAAGCTCACCAGATATGTTACAAAAACAATATCCGCTGGGTATCACTGGAGGAAAAATATCAGCTGACTGAGCTGAGGTGAAAATAAAGTTTCATCAGAGGGTAGACAGACCTTTAGTCTAAATGATAATAATGTAAAGTATTCAAAGTAGACAGAAACAGTGGGCCTATGTTTAGACACAGAAACACACACATGCACATACTTGAACTATCTTTGTGAGAACACTCATTGACTTAATCCATTCCCTAGCCCCTTAATCTAACCATCATGACTAAACCCTTACCCCTAACCTAAACCTTAAAACCAAGTCTTTAAACAGTGCACTGAAGGTCAGAAAGTGAGCAACACACACCACCAGAGAGACCCAAGTTAAATCCCTGCCAACAGTGCGCCCCATCAAACAGAAAAGTGTTTGTGGCAGGGAATCAACCTATTAGTGGAGGCAACAGCATGGGTAGTGAGAGGGAATTGCATGTGTCATGTCCTCAAGGAGAAGCTGTAGTATGCCGTCAAATGAAAACAGGTGGCTGCCGCAAATCCAAACAAATGAGAGGAGACATGTGACTGTCTAAACCCTTGCTGAGCCAAAAATGGAGGCAGATTCTCTCTCACTCTCTCTCACACACTCACACACACACACAAGGTGGGAGTCCAAACCTTACCCATGCTCTTTGATGACCTTGGCATAGTTTATTGAGGTGTTGGGAACAGAGGAGACTTTGTATTCCTGCTGGCTTGTGTTGCCAAGGTTTGGGATTGTGAGGGTGATCCTCTGGTTGTACCTGCTAAGGGGACGTAACCAGTTAGCACAACTACTTTATTATACATACAATTCTTTGAAAAACTAAAACGTACGTATTTGCTTTCACTGATTCAATTTATCATGCATTTCTTTTCTTAGTGAGACAGTTTGATGATTTATGAAGCTGAAATTACAATAAACGATAAATCTCAACAAATAGTTTCCATTTGAGCCTTTTAATGTTTGTGTAAATCTGTACAAATATGACTGCATGTTATTCACTGGGATATTTGTATTCAAGTAAACATGAGACCATGGACTGAATGAATGTTACTGATGACAGAAACAAAGAACATTTAAAAGACATTGACAAAGACACTGCTTTTAATTATGGATTGGTCACATAATAAATTTCACCAGATTTATTTAGTATTGGCCGAGATACCTATCAAATTGTAGAATTTCTGTGCAAAAGGAAGTTATATATGGAAAATAAAGTTTGAGAAGTATCTCTGAGTAATCTGTAGAGAGTGTGGGTGTGTAAATGTTCTATCATTCTCACCTGCGGTTAGGTCTAAAGAGCACATACTCCAGTGCATGCGTGGAGCTGTTGGCAGTGGAGATGAAGCTGAAAAGAAGGAAGACGAGGTCGGGCACACCGAGCAGCTGAGTCAGCTGTTTGTGGATGATCTGTTCCCTGAACGACATCTGTTGCTGCGTGTTCCTCCGGAACCGGTACCAACCAATGACGTTCTACAAGAGCAGTGATACAGATCTTTGAAAATAGGCCTTAAATTAAGAATGAAATCAAATGAATGTGAGATTTTTTAGGATTTATTTCAGGGAAGCATTGGTTTAAAAGCATCAGGAAGGCATAATTAACATTTCACAGGACATCAATCACAATTTATGTAAAAATGACCACAAAGCAAAAAAGTTGACTCACTTTCCGCCTATCTTTAAGGATGTTGTTGAGATTTTCTTCACTGACTTTGCCTGCGTAGTCATAAAAGCTGATGAGGAGAAAAAAAACAAACACCAGTCATTTCAAACGGATTAATCATGTTCCAACTCATGCTCATCATGTGAGACTCTACTCAGTCTTGTCAGGTGGAGCCATCTACTGTCCAATGTCTATTTAATTCAGTCTGTGCTCAATTTGACATCATGTAACTGAGGTATGCATTTAAATCGCTTCTCTGTACACTGGCACTTTTTACTGTGTTATAATAAGTGCACAAAGATCCCAATAACTAAATAAGTGCCACTTTGACATACCACCATGGTTTTTTATGTCAGGGGATTTCTCAAATTAAACTATAATGGCAAATTTTGTTGGACAGCCATTTTTGTTTCCCTAAACCATTATTTGTTTGAGTGGTACAAACAATATGCATTGATGATGACTGACAGTAATAGAACCTGTTTGAGAAGAAAAGGCTCATATCTTACCTAAACAATTGTGCACAAGGATCATGGTTATGGATTTCTGTTGGGAACAAATATTGACAGAGGTTTCAGTAATATAGAACTATAAATGAAAATATTTAAAGGTATAATCAAAGTGTAATTCAAAGTTTCTCCCAACAACCAAAATTCACAACACAGGCCTGCAACTTGCTTACTGGCATCATCTCTTTCCCAATTATGTTTCACCTTCAGATACATTAAAGCACATTTCTAACAGGACTATAATCTTTTTTTTTTTTTAATTTAACTGCTACATAAGGACAGATTCAAATTTAATATTGATTCCTTCGGCCATCTCACCCAATTTAGAGCTTCAACAAGGAATGTTAAACATCTCCTCAGGATAAAGTTTGGTACTGCTATGAGGGGAAGTACCAGACATCAGCAAAAGGTATGCACTTATGAAAATGATAAAAGCTGTCTCTAATAGATGTAACTGAATTAACAGAGGGAGTTAACAGAGTATGTCAGTCAGCCCTGCACACGCCTACACTGTCTCAGGAGGAGCTGTTAAGCAAAATAAGTGAGAACACTTTGTGGGTGGATCATGAGTGTACAGGAGCTTCAACAGACCATGTATCACATGTTGCTGTAAAAATGGTGCAAAAGACTAAAAGGCTTTTATCACTGCACTTGTCGTGACAACTAACATTACTAATTAAAATGTCAGCTAAATGGAATTCAGTCATAAATCTTACTATTGGAGTCAAAACATCTTCAGTGACAGACACCTATGAACCTGAGCTCCTGTGAACTTCTTATCCGTCTGTCAGGGCTGCTGTCACAGACTGACATTAACCAGTTGCTACTTCATGTTTTGGATGCCACAGAGTTTATGTCTTAAATATTTCAGGGCTTACCTACTACCTGGAGCAGCTCTGCAGTGCTGATCTGTGCGTCACTGATGCTGACAGTCTCTTCTTGCCTTACATCTCCTAATAGGAAGCCCTCCTATGCAAAGACATTTTAAGTGGTTAGGACATTATTGTCGAGCTGAAACAATGAGTGCATTAAACAATAAGTTGATTAACAGAACAGTACTTAACACCAATTTTGCTAATCAATGACTTGGTTCAGACGAAAATTACAAAGTATTCTTGTCACAGATTTCAAATGTGAAAATGTACTTCTCTCTGTTTTATATGAAATGTTTGGATTTTGAACTGTTGTCAGTCAAAATGACACTTTTAAAACATGGGTCTGTTGGTTTCAACTAAATTAATTCAAGATTATCTAAGATCATAATGAATGAAATTGAATACGTATGTCAAATACAACAGATATGAAAGAATATCAGGGACGGAATTAGTACAATTTCCTTATTTGATGGATGCTTCATGTAAATGTCAGACACTGAATTAACACATTCCTTCATTAATATATAACATAAAGAAACACACCCGCTTCTGTTCAGGGTGTAAAGTAAGTCGTTTACAGCACAGACAGCTGACACTGGCTTGTGACAGTTATGGCTTCTGTCAGGAATGCAGGCAAACTTGAAAGCAGCAACTCCCCACAGATGTAAACACTGCTAACGTTAGCTAGGTTAGCTAAGTTATTTCTTTCTATATCGCAACATATTGGTTGTATTGTTGCATTGCATTTCTCCTCCACGATCCATCTGCAACTGGCAAACCAGAGCAAAACCCCAATTGTAATAGAGTAATAACGCACGTATGTCACTTTGGTGAACTGTGTTGACTTTCATGCTACTCAAATTAGCCGTGTTAGCGAAGCTGAAACAGGAAAAACAAATGTGGTTTCTGATTCCTTGTTTGAAAATGTGCTGTGTTGACGTCTTGCACTCGTTGAGACAGTGAACTGATATCAGATGTCAGGTGGAGGGGACAGTAGGTGTTGGCAGCACCGACACACGGAAGTCACTTGACTTGGTGACTTAGCTAGCATGCTAGGTAGCTAACTGAGTATTTCCTGGAGCTCAAACTTTCCAGGCAGCGTTCCCGTGTTGATATATCAGCTGTTCCTGTTCAAAGCATGCTATTGCTAATGCTATGAGTTGATAATTAACGCCCGTGTGATGAGGTCATCTATAAACGACCATCACTGTCTCCTAGGTGCTGAAGCGACACAGTGTGATTAGACCCAGCCCGCCGGTAAATAGACGGGACCGATGCTAGCTAGCCAGCAACAGGATGATGACACTGGAAAACAACACAAACTAATGGCGCCGGTGGACGGTCACACACGTCCCCGAGCCCCGCGTCCTCTTCAGCAGCCGCTGCCGTGTTAGCTTGTCATCATGGATGCGGATACTCACATGATCTGAGTTGCTGTTGGCGCTGTGATAACACACAGAACTAAAAGTATAACCTGAAATGGATGCCGCCATGATGGAAACATCCCTATCAACCCCGATGCCCCCCCGCGGTTGCAGGCACGCTCCTCAAGCGCAAGGTTTCACGGGAAGTGTAGGCGAAGGATTTTCACCAGCATGGAGGACACGCGTGGCTGTGGAGACGCCACAGACCCGGAAAACAAAGACTTGGATAATGATTTTCCGCCGTCAAAGCTGGGGACCAAGGAGTAGTGAGTGTTGTGACTGAGATCCGCTGCTAATGTTAGCTTCTGGTGTTTTGGTTCTTACTGTCAGAGCGCCACAGCTACGAGAGACAACAACAAAGCTAACTCGTAACTTCAAAAATGTGTTGTAGGACTGTTTCCCTCAAACATCGCTGGAAAAGCATCCGCAATAAATGCACATTTTCTAAGCTGACGTATTCGCGTATTTGTTTGTCTGCTGAACTACGATATGTCATGTTTCCATTGGAGATATTTCATATGTGCCTGATCTGTCAGTGACTTGTCTTTTCCTGCAGTTGGGAGGATGCATACCAAAAAGAGCTGGAGACGTTTAAAGACATGGGGGATGTTGGAGACATATGGTAATCATGCAGATAACAACATTGGCCCTGAAGTGCAAATAACAAAACACAATGACATTAGCTTGTGACAGAAAAGGTGGGTCCCTGCTGTCCACTCATCACTGATTGGACAGAAGCACTCTGGATAATCCCCTGAAATGATCCAGAAGGGATTGCATGTGAGATCGCGAATGTCCAAGTCAGTTGCTGCGGACATTCTCCAGAGTTTATTCTGCCAGCCCCCTAGTAAAAACTCCCTTGTGTGAACAAGTGAGCTTGCGTAAGAAGATGTAAACTTGGAAAGCCGATAAGAGCCTACAGCTTTTTGGCGATAAGGACTGACAAAAAACATGTGATTGCTGCATTGGAATTTGTACTTTAATGTTCTGCATCGTGGATGCTGCTTCATCCCTTCGCCTGAATGTCACGTGCATTTCATCTGTGTTGTTGTGATCGCAGCTGACCGGAGAATCTCCTCCTGCACTTTTCACATGTGAAAGACAACCTCAACAGGAAGCCTGGGCCGGATTTAGCTTGACATTCTCTAGAGTTATTGTCTTTTTATCAGGAAGGAAATGATGAAGAAACATGTTTTCTTATTTGCTGGTTTGTTTACTTATTTGTTATTGTGTTTTCTGAGTTGCACTTCAGGGCCACCATAAAGACACCAATTATTCCAAAATACGAAGATCCCTAAAAGTAGATATGTTTAATGCAGTATTTTTTAAGTTTCTGATAATATCCCATTGTGTCACTAACATGTGTGTGTTTCGGTCTTGTTGTCAGGTTTGGTGAAGCAAGCATGAACCGTGTGCTGCGATGGATGGACAAAGCTGAGATCCCAGAAAACGCTGCCATTCTGGACATTGGCACCGGAAATGGAGCCTTTTTAGTTGAACTGGTGTGAAACTACCTAAAATCTACATATTCACATGTTTTGTTCATTAATGAAAAGTTCAACACAATCACAGCAAATCACAAAATCATAGCAACATCTTGACAACAGGGAAATGAATAATGGAGGTACATGTTGTTTTTTCAAAGATAATCTGACTGCTTTGGCTGCCATAGTATTCAGATAAAAGCAGAAATCTTCAAACCAAATGCTATCTGCATTAAGAAACATCACAAGGGTTAAGTAGAAATATGCTTGCTGTGATGACCTACTTCAAAAAGCACTTTTCTCACACATTTCTACAACAGTTGATGAACTGCATTTTTCATTTGCTGTGTTTTCTTTTCTTGCAAGGCAAAACACGGCTACAGGAACCTGTCAGGTATAGATTATTCTCCAGCGTCAGTGGAACTGGCCAGAAATGTTCTGCAGGCGGAGGACTTGACAGATGTCACCTTAAAGGTGGGTTCAGACGTGTTTGTCATTAAAACTGTAGTATCATTTAGTAGCCACAGGGGCTGCAAGTTCACATTCTTATTATGTAAGAAGTGACTGACAAAATCTACCAGACCTACTTTCAAACCGGGATTTGAAGGTTTGTGGGTTTTGTAGCAAACATGACAACACAGACATGGTGTGCCACTGAAATGTTTGTCTTCATGTGAAAGTGCCCAGCAGCACGCCAATGATTGAGAAGATGGCAGTTTCACTTTTAACTGACAAATTGTAATATCTGCAAAAAGCAAATCCACTCTTCATAAATGCTTCAACGTGATATTTTAGTGCATGTGGATGTACTAATATCCCATTGATATAGAATTAATCCCTTCATTCTGGAGGGCCTGTGATACAATACAGCTTTCAGCATGCTGTGTGCCTCTCTGGTTCCTGGATGGTGAGAGGAAACTCTTCTGGGTTTACCATGCAGGAGACTAAGATGGCCCTGAAAGTGTTGGAAGTCTGCCCACCATTCAGATTAACCAGCCTCAAACCCCCAGGTGAAGTGGCAGGAGTTAATGCATCTACTCACATATAAATTCAAGAAAAACACTTTATAAACGCTGGCCAGTCTATAAGGGCTGTGATGAGTGAGTTTTCCTGCCTGGATCGCATGTTGCGGTTGCATACATGTTATATGCATGACACATCGATGACAGTGTGTGTTTTGCTTGGGCATAAAGCCTGCCATTGAAGTCAATATTGACCTTAGTTGGACAGGGAAGCACAGTGTGTGTGTGTGTGTGTGTGTGTGT